TAAATATAAAAATATTTAGGTATATAGAAATCAGTGTAGAAGTTCTTTAAAAAAACTAGAAATAGATATAACACATAATCTGGCCATACCATTCTCAGGAATATTCCCAAAGGTTTCTACATTTTACTTTAGAGGCACATGTTCACCCATCTTCATTGTTGGTCTATTCACAATAGCCAGAAAATGGAAGTAGCTGAGATGTCAGCTGATTAGAAGATCAAGAAAATGTATTACATGTACACAGTGGAATGTTATCAAGCTGTTAATAAAAATAAAATTATGAAATTCTCAGGTAAATGGATGGAACTTGAAACAATCATTCTGGGTAAGGAAACTCAGACTCAGAAAGACAAATATTCCTTGTTTTTGTCTCATTTTTTGGATATTAGTTAAATATGCATTTCATCCAGAATACCCTCAGGGGTCAGGAAATTAATAAGCGGTCATTTAAGAGAGAGGAAATATGTAATAGAGTGATATATAGGGGGAAGACTGAATATTAGAACAGAAATGGTTAGATGGTGTGAGGATGGGAAGTTATAGTAGAGAAGGGAGTGTGGGGATAAATAAAATTAAGATGTTCTGAAGAAAATCATGCTAAAAGCCAGTACTTTAAAAGCTTAATTGGGTTACCTTATAAGGGAGAGGTAATACCCCCTACTAAATAGACACCACAGAACTAAACAAAAAACCCTATGTTAGGAATGGGTTACCTCTTTCAGATTTTCTGTCCATTGAGGTCCCACAGACATCTCCCCCAATATTGCAGGCTATTGCCACTGTTCATGATTATACCCTTTAGAACTCAACAGTAGGTCCCCTAAGGATGTTTTGTTTGCAGCAGCTTTCAGCCTTTGCCCTCAGGCTAAAGTTGTTTGGAAAGAGCTCTAGGTAGGATTCTGAAGATAAGAATACAACTAAGGAAAACCAGCATCAACCACTCAAGACTGAAAGTCTCTAAAACTCCACTTTTAGGAACAAACTCTCTTTCCCTTATCAGTTGGAGAGGGTTCTTGGTTTTCCTGTCTCTCTACCCACATACCTAAAGGAAAACCTGCTTATTGACAGGCCACACAAACTAAAGCAGAAGCTATAGGCAACCCTTCCATTGCAGAGAGACACTTGTAGGAGGAAAGGATCAACACAATTAGAAACCCATGTCATCTACTCTTAAAAATCAACAGTTTTCCACCCATAAATAAGACTAGAACACTAGAAGAGAATGGTGGTACACATCTACAAGTCCCAGCACTTATGGGGCAGGTCTCCATAGCTATAGCTAGTTTCAGGGCAGCCATAGCTACATAATGAGACTTGGCCTTATAATAAAAGATATGCCTAGATAGCTAAAGATCACCAGACACTTCAGGAAAGCTGACAATATGAAAAAGAGACAAAATAAACAAATAAAACTGACTCTAGAGGAAAGAAATTATGAAAGGAGTAGAATAAGTTTCAAAACAAACATATTTTGACTTGTATCACCAGCAAGGCTGGCTAGAACTAATATTCCTCTTTTTTTCTCCTCCTCCTCCTCTTTTCTCTTTTAGATTTTCTTTTAAAAATGTGTTTGCGTGTTTTGTGTTTTGCCTGCATGCATATATATGTACCACATATACGCTTGTTGCCGAAGACGGTCAGAAAAGAAAATTGGATTCCCTGAAGCTGGAGTTACAGATGCTTGTGGACTACCATGTGGGCGTTGGGAATCAAACCTACATTCACTGTAAAGGCAGCCAGTATTCTTCTAGCTTAAAATGTTTTACACTTTTTCTATCCCATTAAAATACAGTTTATTTATATTTACTAATTTCTTAAGAGTTTTTCAAATGTCAAGGATTCTGAAATTGCCAAAACAAACATTCTGCTCTAGGAGCTAATGACTGAGATGTTAGACAAATCAATTATGACGTGATGTGGCAAATATTATGAGAGATTAAACATGGGTGAGGGCACCTTCTGCAAGGGGGTATTTCACTTTAAACATTTGTGGTAAGGGGCAAGGGAACCAGCCTATACTCAGGGAATACTATGAATAAGCACAGAATGTTAAAGAAAATAGAACTAGCTTAATATGCATCATGAGCAAGGATGAGCATGAATGGTTTGTGGAAGATGAGTAAAGAACTGTGGGTATTGATTTGCTCATATCTTGTGCTGAAAAAAAAAAAACCCGTATCATTTAAGGGATAATCTTCCAATATATTTAGGAAAAACCAGACTGTGACTCTCTTCATAGAACAAACAAAACACTAATATAGTTAACTCTTTCATATACACTGGAAATAATTTTTCTTGCAGAAATTATGACTGTATTCTAGATTATCTCTATAAAATCACAACCACAAGTGAATTCACACCCAAAACAAGTTGCTGAATTACAAAACACTGAAAGAATTTTTCCCTTTATAGTTGTTGGTTAGAGATCAGTTAGCAGCTTGCAAAAAAAGAGTAGCACAAAAAGATGAAGGAGACGTAAGTAAAGTCTGCAGCAGAAACTGCAAAATGAAACAATTCACATTGATTTAACTCTTTCTATAAACTAAATCAATGGTGGTCAGCATTCAATATTCTCCAGATACTTGTGCCCATACCAAAAATCTCCATATTTTCTAGGAAGAAAGTTTGAGAGTTACTTCTCAATGTAGGAAGTTGAAGGGGTTACTTTTATTTAGGTATTATCACTTTTGCTTGTTTTTAGAAAGGGTCTATATAGACCAGGATGGCATCAAACTCACTATCCTCTTGCCACAGACTCCCAAGAATTGCAAGAACGTTTCACCATCACAGGCTTAGCTGAAAATTTTTCAGTGGGGCCTAACCTTTAGATCCATGAGTGCACTGTGACTTGAGCAATGGAAATACATATTAACTTAGCTGTATAAATCCTTAAAAGTGGAATATTTGGTAGACACAAGGGAGAACCTTAAACTAGGAATGCCTGAGCAGGACATGTCACAGACAGGCTGTAAAATGACTGGTTAAAAACAAGATCCATCATTTTACAATGCATATAGCATTATGTTGTACACCTGAGATCCATACAGTTTTCATTAGCCAATTACACTTTGTAAATCTGGAAAATAAAATGGAATAAAGGGCCATGGTGGTACAGGCTTCAAGGGTTGAGATTATGTAGAAGAATGGAAGAAAAATAGGTCAGGAGAATAATAGAGAAGGCACTAAAAATAAATGCTATAAAGCGTTCAGCCAAAACTATAACTAAGCTAATAGCAGAAGCAGCAGTTTCAGTGTTATGTTGTGGGCAATAATCAGGCTTCAGGAAGCTGGAGATGAAGAAGGGGAGCGGGAAGGCTGGATTACTCTTTCTTGAAGCTGGTCACACAAACAAGCCCTCATTGACTGTCTGAGGTCAGTGTAGCAACCTCTCCCTTGAGATTGGCTGGGCCAAGCTGTTCTTCATAGGGTCTTTCTGAATTGAACTTTCTGTATTTGTGTAAAGTTGTCCTGGGACACAACCTTGAGCCCAAGTATGATCACTTGTCTAAGAACCAAAGCCTCTGACTTGACTGATCAAAGTTTATCATTTGCTTTGAAGACACCTCCTTAGCAGATGTAGTGAAAAAAAACTGCACAGGTCTGGGCCCAGGACAGGATGCTGCAGCGTGGGAGGGGAAGACAGCAGGTGCTAACAGCACACACAGCATGCCTAGCAGAGCAGTGTTTATATTTTCTATTCGTGTCTTAAACCAATTTTTTAGGAACCACCAGAGCAACATTATCAGTTTCTGCATGAGCTTGGTATGTGGGAGAGGGATTTCCACAGCTGTGTTTAGTTTGAAGGCTATCTGATATGATATGGCAATGGCTATGCATACATGTGTAATCCTGAAAACAGTGACACAACTTGAGGTGATTTGGCCATTGTTATTTTATTGTCATTATACAGAGTTAGCAAACATTTGGAAAATTCATTTCTTAGGCTAAGAAATCCTTTAAGAACAGGAATAAACTATATATTGTGTAATATGCTTCACAAGTCATTTTCATCCTCATCTTGACTCTATCTTCACCAAAACCTATGGGCTGGGCAAGGAAAGTGCTGCCCTTTGTGTAGAGAGGCTTAGAGGGGCAATGTGGCTTACTGGGGCTCTGTAGGAATTTATTGGTACAGCAAGTACTAGATTCCTGGTTTCCCAGCTGAAGCTCATTTTTCTTATCCTTAGCCACACATCAGCAGAATGGACTATAATGGTGGAGACAGGCAGTATGGCCAAATCAGGCTAATCATTATCCTTCATCTTCATTCCCCAAATTTTGGTTGGATTTCCCCAAACACTATAGTTAGCTTTGCCTTTCAGCACAGATTTTTTTCTTAAATTCTCTTTCCAGCTACATTTTATTTAACAAATTTGGAACCCGTTTTTGCTTTATGACATGTAGTTTTGACTAGCACTCTCTAGCAAGATTTTATTGAACTTACAGATTAAAGAAACAAAGTGGTGAGAAGCAATTAACCCTGGGCATGAAATCAATACATATTTTTGCAAACATTGTTTCTTTTTTCTTTATACCAGGTTTCAGATTTATGTTAGTAAGACTGAAACTGAAATAAGTTTATTACTAGTGGACTCATTTGTCACTTTTCTTGAAACTAGTGAACCCCAAAATTTAGACAGAGATAGGAAAATAGTGCCATTGTCTCTTAAGAAGTCTGACATTTCAAGGTAAGAATGAATGTATGGAAGAAGAAACTTGTTTCTTCTTTACTAACAAAAGGGAAAGCCTGGAAGTTAATGATATGGGTATACTTTTTTTAAAAAAAAAGGGGGGGGGGAAGGAAAGGAAAGAAAAGAAAAAACCTTTACGTAACTTTTTTGCTGGGACAGAAGACTACGAAGCACATTTTCCAGGAAGTGTGGGCTGCGACGATTGTGCGCTCTTAACTAATCCTGAGTAAGGTGGCCACTTTGACAGTCTTCTCATGCTGCCTCTGCCACCTTCCTGGTCAGAAGACACCATTTCAACGCTTACCCAGCATGATAGAAACATACAGCCAAACTTCTCCCCGATCGGTGCCTACCGGACTTCCCAGCAGCATGAAAATTTTTATGTATTTACTTACTGTTTTTCTTATCACCCAGATGATTGGGTCGGCGCTTTATGCTGTGTATCTTCATAGAAGATTGGATAAGGTAAAGTAACATACAAGTCTTCATTGACTGAATTGGGGGGGGGGGTCTTATAAATATGTGGACTGGTTGATTTAAGTTCTATCCAAATGATGGAGTCCAGTAGAAACTTTAAGTTGATTGATATACTTGTGGCATAGTGCTTGCTGCCTAGAAAGTAGAGTCTCATATTTTTGCCTCTGACTAAGATCTTGAGATCTGAAGTCAGACATCAAATCTTAGCTTGATGCTTAGCTGCTCTGAGATTCTGAACATGTCATTTCATATTTCTATTTTACTTTCTGTGCCAAGGAAATAAAGATGGACATGGTACCCGTGTTACAGACCAGATGAATCTAACCCTGTAAAGCACTCAGAATAGTATATGACACATAGTGCATGCTAGACCATGCAGCTATAGTTATTTCTTAAAATTTGTTTCAGACAGTAAACTATTTCCCCCCACGAAGACAACTAAAAAAATTGAGCCTGAGAGAAAGAGCATTGATTTGATCAGAAATTCTATTGTGTTTTGGATCAGTACAGACACATACAATCCCCTCAATTTGCACATTTTGTTTTTCAAGTCCTAATGCTGCTGTCCTTACAACTCTTCAATATCAACTGCCATTGTAAGCTGCTCTGTGCTCCTTGGAGGTGTTTTGCAAGCTTAAATGATTGGGCATGAAAAGTAACTTCAGGATTTCCTTTGTTTCCATGTATTGGTTCAATTCCACTGAGGGGCACATGGGCTGTGTTACAAAATGCCAATCAAAGATGAATAGGAGAAAAGCAATCAAGTATCCAGATATTCCTTAAGGTCTGGAAGTGAGGACAATGGCTAGGCAACCACAACTGTGTGACCGTGTTCTCTCTGAGCTCATTGGCTGCCCTTTCTTAAGATGAGGACCTAATGAAGGCCATGAAGTTTCTATCAATATAAGGATGGGCAGTGACGGGTAATAAAAGTGAAGACAATCTGTTTGCCTACTCAAACTGGATTTCATTGCTGAGCAAAGAGACAGGTTCTGTTTCTGATTGTTTGTTTATTCATGTGTGGCATGGTGGGCTTTGTCAAATGTCTGTACATAGGCCTTGAAGATAATGGGGAAGTTGTTACGCATATAGAATCAAATGTGCTAGCTATATAATATTTAAGTGTGCCCTTAATGATTGGCAAAGCCATTGGCAAACTATGCCTTATTTTTTCTTTGTTTGGTTGGATTTTGGATTTTTTTTTCTTTTTGAGACAGTCTCATACTGGAGCTCAGAATGCTCTGGAACTCACTAAATAGACCAGACTGGCCTTTAACTCACAGCAACACTCCTGCCTCAGCCTACAAGTACAGCGATTACAGAAATGTTTCACAATTCCTGTACTGGTTCTTGTTTTGAAAGTTAAAAATTTACATTAAGATTAAAAAGTCATATGGAATTAGTTGACAACACAAGTTAATCATATACATTTAATTACTCAAATATTAAAAAGGAAACATTCACTTTGGGGCTGAGAGATAATTTCTTTAAAGATGCGAATGCATTCCACAAGTACTAGAGAAATGAAAGATATAATTATAAATCCACATCATGAATAAACTTCTTTATACACTGCCATGAAGTCGGCAAACTAGTTGAGCAGCAAACTACTTTATGGCTGATGGGAAACATGACAAACACAAGCTATTTCTTCCGTAGTACATTGAAAAACATAGAGGCTTTGGAATGACAAGTCATTAGAATAGCTGTGCTTTCTGTCCAGAGCCACAGATAACATGGCATCTGAATCACGAGCTTTTTTAGTTGTAACATGGCAAGTGCCCAACCGTAATAATGCAGCATAATAACCTATAATGCTCCCCACTTATGTGCTCAAAGTCCTGCTCTCTTCAGGGACATGGAAGTGAATGCAGACGCACACCGTTAGCTGCCTATTTCTCCCCGATGACATGTGTCACAATCCTGCTATTTCAAAACAGGTCGAAGAGGAAATAAGCCTTCATGAAGATTTTGTATTCATAAAGATGCTTCAGAGATGCCAAAAAGGAGAAGGGCCCTTGTCCTTGCTGAACTGTGAGGGAAAGAGAAAGCAATTTGAAGACCTTTTCAAGGTAAGGTGTGCAGTTCCCAGCAGATTTCACTGAGAAGTTTTAGTACGTTTCCTAGTTCTGCAAACTGAATTCTGACCCTGGAAAGGTTTTAACCAGTAAGCAGGGATGTTAGTCACACCTGCAATCTTACCGCTTGAGAAGCCCAAGAAGAATGACGAACATGAGCTCCCAGCCAGCGTGGTTTACAGAGTCAGACATTATCAAAATGTGTTGTCTATAAACGCACATGTGCTCATACATACATACACATATACATTTAGGTAGGTGTGCACATGTGTACATACTGAAAAAGAAAAACTGAAGACAAAGCTTTCGGATAAAATGAAGAGGGAAGTTGGACTTGTGCGCTGTGCTGCAATTAGAAAGGTTTCCTTTGGAGAAAATCCATACTCCAATGCACATCTCCACATGCTCATCCATACACACATGCAGCTGCCACATAACAGTTATACAGTAAATACAGCTGTGTTCTCTATTTCTGTATTTTTTCATCCAAATTTGATATCTTCCTGGTGTGAAACCAAGGTCTGATTTCCATTTCTTATGGAAAGTAATAATGGTTGGCTCGTGCCATCTTTGCAGGCCATAAGGGGAGATATTGTCTGTCCTGAAAATACTGAGGACTTTTGAAGACTGACCCAGTCTTCAGTGCGTATTGAGTGATGGGAGGATGTCAGGTACTGTGATAGTGTCATCTTCTCTTTTTGTTATATGAAAAAGGTGTGGGTGATGATGGCTGCTCTTACTAGAGCCCATAGAACGTTCCTCACTCGTGCAGCCATTTCACTCTATAGATTTGAAGCCTTCTAAACAACCCAGCTGTTACCCAGTAAGTAAGTATCTAAAACATGCATTTCAAGATTTTTTTTTCATTTATTTGTGCATCACAGACATGAGCTTAAGGTGCTTTCTTTTTTTGAAACAGCATCGAAAACTCTCCCTTCCCATTTCCCTTCAGAACACTGACCTTTGGCCATCCATTGGCTAATTTAGGAGTTGTTCTAGGAGGTAGCACTTACTCCACGTTGAAGCAGCACTGTCTTCTGAACAAACCAACAGAAATTCACTTTTATGTACAGATACCGTGTAATTGATTAGTGGAGTAAAGAGCTCAAGATTTTACTTCATTTGTAAATTTGTGACACATGTGGAAGGCGGACAATTTGTGAGACTTTCTTTTCCTTCTACTCTGTGGGTCCTCAGGACTGAACTCAGATCCACGGCCTTGGTCGCTGGTGTTTTGCCCCACTGTGTCACCTCACTGACCTCTTCAGATCTTATTTAGAAACTTAATATATTTCCTCCCATACCACCAAAAAGGTGTAATTTCATACAGTGAAGAAGACTGTTATGCTTATTTCTAGGCCACTTAACTGGGTTCAGCATACAGTTCAAATGTGCCACTGCTTTTAAACTTCTTTCTATCATCTAGAAGGTGTTTTTTTTATTTTTTTGAGACAGTCTCAAGTAGCCTGGTCTTGAACTTGCTGTGTAGCTGAAGACTTTTTCTACTGACCCTCCTACTTCTAACCTCAGGAATAAACTTTGTCCAGTTGCATTTAGATTTTATTGTTTCCATTCTCTATAATGATGCTTTTCAAATTAATTTTTATTATGTCAAGGTATAATGTACCTTGTGTGTATTAACCATGTAGTCTATAATCTAGGATTTACATAAAATTTCTAACACTTTACTTCTGAGATTAGTGAGTTAGGGAAATGTCTTAAGGTTATTCAGTGCTTATAGAGTCTTGGAGTCTGAGACTCTCTATAAGAACACTAACACTACGATCTCAGGCATGCTCTCGGATGGTCGGTCTTCAATTTTCTTGAACGGCAGTGAAAGTGGTTTATTTTTTTTTTTTTGGTTGTTTGGTGTTTTTTATGTTTTTGTTTGTTTGTTTGTTTGTTTGTTTAATTTTCTCCTTACAGAGAGGTTTCTCAGCCATCTGCCAGTTCTCTTTGTCCTCATTCAGTTCAGATGTGGAAAGCTTTCAGAATCATCTACCTTGAATAGGAGTAGGGAAAACAGTTGATTCTGTTTACATGGAAAAAAAAGTAAAACATTTTAGGCATATCAGCCAAGGCCTTGGTAATGTACTATTTACCCATTGAAGATGCCTCTTGCCTCTACCATAGCAGCTATGGAGCCCCAAGCAATGGCATCTTTACCTAGAATATTAAAAAGCTGAGATGCAAAGTTTTCCAGTCAGTTACTACTCTTCTATAGACTGATCCCCTTTTAAGTCACCATTTCCTTAGAGGTCTCAGTCAGAAGCAGTATTTGCAACTGTTTAGCCTAGCAAGTCAACTATAGACTAACTCCAGATTAGATTTGTGTTTCTTCAGCTAATAATAGCAGGCTATGGACCATGAGTGGGCTGACCCTGAGTAACTTTGGAGTCACAGGGCCTGCTGGGATCTTAGAAGTAGTGTAATTCTCAGTTCTTAGAATTTCAGTCTTCTCTCCACCATCTCTACAAAATGGTCACCCAATTTTTATTTAAATACCTCTCATGACAGAGAGCTCATTAACTTCTGAGACCAGCGTCATGGAGCTCTCACCGTGGCAAGAAGATGGGATTTGAGTCTTGTGGTAGGGCAAGCGGAGACACCACTTTGAACAGTGTAATTACGATATTAAAATCTACTTAGCTCCCCATCTAGTATGATCAGTCTCATGCCTATCTGTCTACCAATATTTGAGGTACATTTGATGGCATCAAATCATTTCCATTTCAGATTAAAGGGCAACATATCCCTATCTGCCATGTAGTTTCCATTGAGAGAGAAATCAGTAACCCAAGATTTTTCTAAAATTTGACTTCAAAAAGCTTTTCAGTTGAAGTGAAGAATGAAGCTGGAAAAAAAAAAAGGCTCTGGGGAGTGTGAGACTGGGGGAGAAAGTTCACAAAAAGGCAAGGCTGGGTGCATAAAAGACAAACTTTGCTGACTTCACATTTTCATTTGGGCCAGGTCCCAACCCCACTGCAACCACCTAGCCTAAAAGTATCTCAACTTCAATCATCACACACTAGTATTTGAAAAGACACCAAACAGTCATTTGCTTACTTGTTAGCTCTCAAACATTTTCCTGTTGCTGCATTGTCATAGTGTCCCACTACAGCTCAAATGGAAAGTTGATCTGTATAGCCTATGTGAGCATTACAAGGCTCAGAGCCCCTCTGGGGATCCTTGCTTTATGCCCTTGCATCTGGAAACCAAGCTGAGCTTATGGTTGAAAGAGTCAAGTGTGACAATACACATGTCTTTTTGTGGTGAGGATTGTGAAGGAAAGGGCCTGCAGGTAATAGGAATGGCAAGGGGCATAGAACTATCAGATGTGAAAATACTGATGTTTTCTTTCCCCTCGTGTTCAGAATAGAGTGGTGTAACATATCGAGCCAAGTCTGTGAATGTGTTCCCACTTTCTGTAATTCATTTAAACCTCAGGCTCTTGGATGACCTCATACTCGCCAGGCCTTTTGATTCAGTCTTCTTGAAATGGTGGTAATATCCTTTACCGTCTCTCAGTCTTCATAGAAGGAAGTCTATGTTAGTTTCTTTCAGTATTTCCAGCATTCTTTCACCTTATAAGTTAAAAAAAAAAAAACATCCTTAAGTGCTGTGTTTAGCTGCGGTACATGTCTGCCATCAGCATTTGGGAGGTGGAGGCAAAAGGATCAGGACTTCAAAGTCATCACCAGCTTCATAAAAAGTTCAAGGTTAGCCTAGGCTACGAGAACCTATCTTAAAAACACAAAGCAAGGTACATGAGATTTTTAAAGAATAAATACAATACAGTTTTTCAATAAAAACAAGAAACTAAGTGTTTTAAACACCATCACCAGAATTAGAAGATGGCCTATATTTGCTGAATGTTGATTACTTTAAAGAAGTATAGGCCATACAGGATAACCATCCACAAAAACACATTCAAAGTTAAAAGTCTGGGTTTCTCTTCCATGATCATATTCAAATTTTTTCCTATAAGGTTTCAAACCAATCACATTCTAACAGATCCACGCCCTGCATTATGTTTGATAATATTCCATAAGCCAGTTTCCAGGGTTCAATTATTACCCCATTCAGCATTATTTATCACTATCTGTCAAAGGCAAGGGGGTTAGGGTCATAGAAAGGGTCAGAACCACAACCTTTGGTCTGGGGACAGCACTGTAATGGAGATAATAAGGCCTGGATTTTGCTTCCAGGGTCTCCCCTGGGTTTTCTGGGCTGTCAGCTCATCTGTCAGAACCAGGGATTCCCAATTGCTATGATGGAATTAATGGCAGCATCTTAGTACATATTATAATCCTCACCAGAAGCAGACAACACAGTACTGACAGTTGCCAAATACATGATACCTCTAAAACCCCTAAAGCAGAGCTTTTGTCAACTGATCTTTTTTGACTATTCTTCTTTTAGAGTATAATGTTAAACAAAGAAGAGAAAAAAGAAAACAGCTTTGAAATGCAAAAAGGTATGTTTTTTTTGTGCATATTTGCTATTTACCAATTTCTATAAATGGTTAAAGAGTAAAAAGAAGCTTTAGGTTAACCACATGAAACAGGGAATATTTAGCCCTGCAAATAAAACAAAAGACATTTGTCAGATTGATACTTTCTCCGGCCTCAGTAATACAGAAAGGCTTTTTGTGTCCATGTTGGTCCCTGTAATGTTGATAATAGCAAAAAGCCCACATCAACTACCTTTATCCAAATAACCACACAATGTGGCTCTACCTTCTGAGGACCAAATGACAAGAAAGTCATTATCAATGATAAATATTTTGTGGGAGGACAGTACCCAGTGGGTCTTCTGGGATCAATGAACACAGTGACTTCATTCTAATCTTTGTCCTGTTCTTGAAGTGAGAGTGTCCTGAATATCTAAGGGTCATGAAAGGACCTCGATGGCTATCAGTTCCGGTACAGTTCTGAGAATATGAATGTCCTTCAAAGCATACTGAGCATTTGATCTCTGCTCAGCTGTACCTAGAGATAGTATACCTTACACTCAAAAAAACCACCTGACCTATCTCCAGTCATCTCTAATAATTATATTAAGGTCAATATCTACTCAAAAAGTCTTACTTCCCAATTGTGTTCCTCAAAGAAGTCTTACCTAACATCTTGTTCTTGGAATATCTACTTACTGGGCACATTTCTGCTCTTTGGGGATATACTAAGCAAAGAATAATTACTTTTCTATACAGCTTTGTCTGGTTACCAAAGACAACAATCACAACCCTGAGATTCCATTGAACTTTTTCTTATCTATGCTAAACAAGCCCAGACCCTTCCATTGTTCTCTTGACGATCCATTACAAGCTCTTTCCTTTCCTAGGTATTTCCTTTTCTGAACACTAGTTTCTCCTGTTCCTTTTAGACTATAGCACTCACCCCCAAAACAGTGACATCTGGAGTGTCTTGAGTAGTGGAAAATGGAAAGAGATGCTGTTGCAGAAACTATAACATTACTAAGTTATTGAACACAATGCTATGGCTACACAAATCTAATGCACATGAGGAAATGCATACACATCAAGTTATAGATACTCTTTTCTTAGGGGAAAAGAGTGCTCAAAACCCATCTTAACCACTGATCTAGATGCCAAAGGCTCATCTGATTCCTCTGACGCATTCATTCTCACGGCGACTGCAAGATGTGATCAGTGGTGCCATGTTTTCTGTTACTTGCAGGGAGATTTTGAAGAAAAAGCCCCTGTGGATGTTTGTTTTCAGACAAATCATAAAGTTGACCAAATTGCTCTTTCAGGTCATGCATGACAAAACATCCTTCATAATGTAGCTATCAGCATCAGGCCCATAACTGGAATGAAAGTACCCACAGTTTCTACACATAGGCAATGAGCACGTTTAATTTGGAAGCAAGGCTGTTGCATGAGAAACAGCTAGATTTGAAAGTCTGGACAGTCATTTAACCAAATCAGATACCACAATCAATCGGATACCACAATCATATCACTAGTTCAGTGTGCAGGCACAGCTTTGGTGCCCACTACCCCTCCAGTGTAGGGAAGCTGTTCTTAAAAGCAAGATTCAAGACAAATTTAATGAAGACCTGTGTCCATCTGTGTTAAGTGGAATTGAGTACTGAATACCTATCAGGAGAAAAGCTGAATGGAAGAAGCCAATTCACTTTTTAAGGCATTATAAACCACCTGTTCTTTCAGTGGGAAGGATTCCAGACTAGTTACCCTTAGTTTAACATAAACTACTGTAAAAGAGTCACTATTAAGCAGTTGTAGAACTGGACCCATTAATTCCATGAGCTGTTGTATATTTCTTTGGCCTGACGGTTTGCTTTTGGTTTCTTTTCAGGTGATGAGGATCCTCAGATTGCAGCACATGTTGTAAGTGAGGCCAACAATAAAACAGCATCTGGTAAGTCCCAGAGTACATGTGGGAGCATTTGAGGAGGGGTGTGCAACTCCAAAGCAACACAGCCTAATCATTAGGCACTTTTCTTCCTCCAGGGACCAATTTACAAACCTACTCATATAACTCTTCATATAATGTCCTTTGTTATCAAAGTCATCTCAAATGCACAGATGGGACTTAGAGGGACAAAAGGAGTTGGGAAACAGTCCCTCTGTTTTCATTATGGTTTTGTTCAGTGACTGATTCTAAATGATGAATGACTAGGTGGAGGAACCATTATTTTGCAAGCATAAAAAGAGATGGCAGGTAGTGGCCTCCTCACTGATCATCTCCTAAGACCTCTTCACTGTGTATAAATGGGCCTCGGGGGATGTTTTTGTTTTGTTTTGTTTTGTTTTGTTTATCATCTGTCAATCCTTGTATGTCAATCCCAGTCTCTGTAGGGCTGACCTTAGAGAAATTAAAGGCAAAATAATTTTGTAAAGATCAATAGGCACGGAGATGTTAGATTTTTTCAATGAAGTAACAACAGATGGCATACAGTGCTCTTTTCAAAACTGAATGCTTTTATTTCATATATATTCTATCTTCTAGCCCTTGTTTTTCCCCAAATCTCTACCCTATGATAGCTGGTCCTGTAGAATATATTAGATCTGTAGATGGATGGAAACATGTACCCTGGCATAAAATTCCCCATGTAAGTAAAGGCTTGAGCATCAGAGCAGTCTTAGAAAGCTTCAGCAGAGTGCTCTACAGTGAACTTCCAAATCTGGTGTGTGTGTGTGTGTGTGTGTGTGTGTGTGTGTGTGTGTGTATGCTCAAGATAGAAACAGAGAAATCTTTTTTAATTTATTTTTATTTTTATATTTATTTATTACAATTTATTCACTTTGTATCCCCGTGGCAGCCTCCTCCCTTGTCTTCTCCCAGTCCGACCCATCCTCCATCTTCTCCCCTTATGCCCTTTCTCTAGTCCCCTGATAGGGGAGGACCTCTTCCCCTTCTATCTGACTCTAGCTTATCAGGTCTCATCAAGCCTGGCTGCATCATCTTCCTCTGTGGTCTGGCAAGGCTGCACCCCCCTTCCCCAGGGAGAGGTGATCAAAGAGCCAGCCACCGAGTTCATGAGTTCATGTCAGAGACAGCCCCTGTACCCTTTACTAGGGAACCCACTTGGAAACTGAGCAGCCAATGGGTTTCCTTTGAACCCATTCCTCTCCATGCATGGTCCTTATAGTTAGGGTATCCATCTCTGCAGGCCCCCTAGGCCCAGGTTTTTTTTTAGCTCTGTTTTCCTCCTTGTGGAGTTCCTGTCCCCTCCAGTTCTTTATCTCTCTTTCTTCTTCCATAAGGATTCGGGCACTCTGCCCAGAGTTTGGCTATGAGTCTCAGTATCTCCTTCGATACCCTGGTGGGTAGAGTCTTTCAGAGGTCCTCTGTGGAAGGCTTCTGTCCTGTTTCTTCTCTTCTAGTTCCAATATCTATCCTATTTGCCCTTCTGAATGAGGATTAAGCATCTTCCCTTCGGTCCTCCTTGTTGTTTAGCTTCTTTAAGCTATAGATTTTAGTATGTTTATCCTTTGTTATAATATATACTCACTTATAAGTGGATATTAGCCATATAATATGGGAGAAACAAATCTTAATTTGTGCAAAATTACTTGTGTGTGTGTGAGAGAGAGAGACTTGAGCTCCTCAGTGGGTAAAATGCAGAAGCACATAATATTGTGGTTCATGGCACAGAAGAGTACTGGTTAGGGAGTTTGTGAACACTAGGGTTTAAGAGCTATGAACTACTTCTAAGTAACTTTAGGCAAATCCCATTCATCCTGAGGGAGATTTTCTTTTTCACCCACTTCACAGAGTAATTGTGAATATAAAATCAACTAATGTGGGAGAAAGCTATATTATCAAGTTGTGCTATATCAGACCAAGGTGCCAATACTTAGTTTATTTCACTGTGGTATCAAGAAAGTGGCATAAAGTCTTTCATTGATTATCAGTTGTTCTTATAATATTTGTTAATTTTGTCATATGCTCTTCCCTTCAAAATATGTTTATAGGGAAACACTACAATTAATGCTATGGCCTGAGAAGCCATTCACACATTCACTTTTGCATTAGGTTATAGCAACAGAGAATTCTCCTAGAATTACCACTTACTGGTCTTTGTCATTCTGTACCTAAAACTTTTGGTTCTTAGATACATTTAATGGAATTTAAAAATTGCCAAAAGGCTTAGAATTGGTACCGCCTGTGAAATAACTCACAGTCTATAATATAGTTAATATATACAAGACAATGTATGGAAAATAGTATAGAATGCCACAGCCCCCGTTTTCTAGTTCCTTTCTGGATGTGATACGACAAACTTGGCCTAGATCACTTAGTAAGAATTAAAATGAAGTAAACAGCTCCTAATGGCACACATCTGTGTTCTCAATGCTAGGGATAGAGGCAAAATGATTATATGTTTAAAATCATCGTAACTTACAAAGCAAATTCTAGGCCAACCTGGGTAATATGAAATGTTGCCTCAAAGGGGGGAGAAAACTCAGAAGACAGACAGGAAGATATCTGTGAGTACTAGGCTAACTTGATTTGCATAGCAAGCTGCAGGCCAGGCAAGGATATATAGTGAGACCCGTTCTCAGAAAAGAAAAAAAAAAATGTAAGGAGTAGGGGGACCCAATTAATTAAACAGAGGGGAATCTGGTCTTTGTTTTTTTCCTGAATCAAATGGTTCAAAAGTAAAAAGATTACCTTTATAGAGAATTTGGGGGTGCAATGAATCAGGGGCAATTAGTCGTCTTCCTATGTAAAAAGAAGAATCTGAACAAGCAGCATCTTATGGCCTAGTAGATGTAAGACCACCAAGTAACATATTTGGAAAACCTTAAGAAAGTAGATGTATCAATCCTTTTTTTTTTTAACTTCTTTCTACCTCCCACTCCTCACCCCCTTCAAACCTCACTGTGGAGGTTGAGATTTGAAATCTAGTACACACCCTACACTTTGAAACCACTCAACATCTCAGCACAGAAGATGGCACACTGTTGGTGGGGACTCTGCTGCAGCCACAAGAATACGGGTACTTTCAAGTTGGTGGCACCCACTACAATGCGAGATCAAAACACAGTTAAATGATCACACGGTTTATTTTCATACTTCCTTGCCTATTTTAGGCTTGGTCGTAGAAGGCAGGTCAGGTTTTTAACAGTATAAGGTAGGAAGAAGTGGGGTCTTGACTTTGAGATGACACTAATCCAGGCAGACTGACAACTCCAGCTTTGTAAAGCTCAGTGTTCCCACTCATATTAACAAGAATTTTATGGTGTGCATAAAGGTGAAATCATTTGCACTTCATTTTAAAATCATTTATTTCTTGATTCATTTATGTTTGTGTATGTACGTCTATGTGACTGTATACATATGTGAAGAGAAGTGGGGGTACACAAAGATCAGATGAGGGTATCCTTTTCTTATCACTGTCCACTTATCCTTTTGAAATAGGGGCTTTTCTTGAACTTAGGACTCACATTTTCTCAGGTAGGTTGTATACTAGCATGTCTCAGTGATCTTCTCTAAGCTCCCTTTTGTGTTATTATTGTTGTGAGACAGGGCCTCACTTAGCTCAGGTGGGTCTTAAAGTCACTATGTGGCCAAGGATGACACTTACCTTGAATTTGAGATTCTCCCACCTCATTGTTGTCTGGGAACTCTAGGCACATACCACTCAAACTTTCTTAAATTCAAGGGCAAATTGGCTTGGAGAACTCTTTAAAAAGGAGAAATTCTACTGTTACCTGCTACTTTATTTAACCATTTCAAGTCTCCAAAACATGTTTTAAGTTAACCCTGTTTTGTTGCTGAGAAACAGGCTTGGGCACACTTGCCCACACTTGAAGAAAGCACAGACTGGAAACTGACACTAACTCTGAAGGACATGTAAACTTGGTATCTATAATTCCTTGTGCCTGTGAGGGCCATAAGGTGCCTTGAGAATTCATTCTCACACAAAGTAGGCATCCAACCGAAAGCTTGATTTCCTGTTCGAATATGCGTGATGCTATGCTTACACTCACCAGGGATTTCCCACTCTTTGTTACAGCTCTACAGTGGGCCAAGAAAGGATATTATACCATGAAAAGCAACTTGGTAACGCTTGAAAATGGGAACCAGCTGACCGTTAAAAGACAAGGACCCTATTATGTCTACACCCAGGTGACCTTCTGTTCTAATCGGGAACCTTCGAGTCAAGGTCCATTTATAGTCAACCTCTGGCTGAAGCACAGCGGTGGATCTGAGAGAATCTTACTCAGGGCGGCAAATACCCACAGTTCCTCCAAGCCTTGCGAGCAACAGTCCGTTCACTTGGGAGGAGTCTTTGAATTACAAGCGGGTGCCTCTGTGTTTGTCAATGTGACTGATGCAAGCCAAGTGATCCACAGAATCGGCTTCACATCTTTTGGCTTACTCAAACTCTGAACAGTGTGCTGTCTTAGGCTGCAGCTGGTTGATGCTGGCAGTCTTCCCTATACGTCAAAGCAGTTAGGACCCACCCCCTCTTGAACTGCCTATTTATAACCCTAGGACCCTCCTCATGGAGAACTATTTATTATGTACCCCTAAGGCACATAGAGGTGGAATAAGAGAATCGAGGGGCAGGCAAAATCCTAAGGGACCCGGCTCCCTAAGAGTTTATAATCTGAAACAGCAACCCCACTGATGCAGACAACCAGAAAGCCCTAGGAAATGATAAAGCCACAATGTTCAGTTGATAGAGCTTTGACGAAACAGCAGATAATTAACCAAGCTCAGTTTTGTTGCTTTATGAGTGTGTCTTTCGGTGGACAGTGTATTTGACTAACCAGGAATGATGCAGAAGGGCAACTGTGAGTCCTGGCTCACAATCTGTTATGGTTGACTGGCTCCAATAGGCCAGTTTCTAAAGTCTCCCAGGGAGAACTAAGAAACTCTGCCTTCACCTTCTTCCCAGTACCCCAGTACTCACGCTTTCAATCTCTCTCTCTCTCTCCCCCATCCCTCTTTATCTTCCTTCTCTCCTTCCCTCCCCCCACCCCAGAGTCAGGATGCTGCTGACTGGTTCTCTCATTATCTACCCTGTCTCTTTCTATAGCACAGGACAGTGTAGATAGCAGCTCCTGGCCTGCCCATTCCTCATAACGGAATGACTGTATTTAAAGAGATCTGCTGTGGCTCCCTGAAGTCTCTGTTGTTTCCATAGTGAACTTAATGATTATGTTATTATTTATTTTTTGAATAATAAAGATCTTTTAACATTGCTGTTATATAGCTCTCATCCAGGTTGGGGGAGGGGGAGGGAGAAGGAAGTATTTGTAGGGAATTTTGCCAGCTTTTTTTTTTTTTTTGCTGCTACCAGAAACTTATTTCTCAAGCTGAGAATTCAGCAAGTTATATTGGTGACTGCATGCTCTCTGGAAGTCTGTCATAGCCTTTGGTAGATGACCACAAAAGCCTGGTCGGTGAAAAGCAGCCTAGGCCTCTATTTCTAACTTGCTCTGGAAAGGTTGCAGGCGACTGGCATTTTAAAACTTGATCATGGCTAACAGAGACTGGAGAGAGAGCCTTAAATGAGAAGCAGTAGCAAATCTTTTTAACAGCCTTCTAAGGAGGCTCTGCAAGAGGAAAACATAGCTGGAACACCCTGAGGGTGATTCTTGGCTCCAGAGCCTACCGCTGAAACCAACAGAGTCATTTCTTGCCACCTCCAACTGTGGTGTAAAAATGATGATACGAGAAACTGAGAGTTTAACTGAAGAATTGCTTTTCTTAAAAGAAATACATTCATTAAAAAAAAATACTACTCTAGAAATAAAAAAGAGAAAGTGTCTTCCCTCATGCCCTTGCTCTTCAGTCGTGTGGATGGCACAACTGCATTTTGATGGGAGCTGTTGCAATATGAAGACCCACTGGAAAGCTGAAACCATGCTGTACCCACTTGTGTGTCTGCACACATCCTTCAACAAGAGACCTTTGGTATGAGCAAGAGTGATGTTTGTGGATTTAGGAACACATTAGAAATGTGCACACTGTGACTTTGTGACCTCCAGGAGCAAAGATCTTTCTACAATTTTACCTTCTGACAGGGGGTCAGGGTGGCTCAGCTATAGAGTTCTTTTCTCAAAAGTGTAAGGCCCTGGGGTCCATGTCCAGCATTGCAAAAGGGGGGAAAAAAGCATCAACTGACAAACCTCTATGTAAGCGGCTTGAAGGCAGTGAGGCAGCAGCTATGGCAGCCGAGTAGACAGGGGCCACAGTGCTCTTTCAGTGTGGGCCTTGGGAAGGCCAGAATCCTAAGCCAGCTGGAAAGTAGGCAATGGCTCAGTCAAAAGAGAGGGCAGCAACACATACACCATAATTCTTCTTTATAGCAGCTGAACGGCCATGTTGTGGCATATTTTTCCTCACGTTATTTGTCTGAGTTAGATAGTGGGAATGGGGTGGGCAAGAGACATCACCAGTTTAGTAGTTTGTCACCTGCTTTTTTATATATTTTAATTAAGATATGATAGCATTACTTTCCTTTTCCCCTTTCCTACCTACAAGGCATGCCCAAGTCCCCTCCCTCCAACTCCTTCCATGCCTCTCTACTCTCAAAATGATGGCAGTCTCTTTCATTTACTATTAGTGTTACATATATATGTATGTATAAGTATGCATAAATACATAAATATAATCCACTGGCGTTTTTTGTTTACATGTGTATGGTTTCAGGGATGACCACTTTGTAAACAGTATCTCCTAGAAATGGCTGTACAAACAAGACTAGAACACCCAGGCAGATTTTTAAAAAAATAATCTTCATATACTCATGTTCTCTTGATTAAAAATCACCCCCATGTTTCAGCCTACACTCTTGTTCATTGGGTGTCATTACTTTCCAAATTAGTTCTACTTCTAGTAAAGAATTTGGTCTCTCACCTTGTTTTCTCACAAGGTCCCCTTACTCTTTTCAAATTCTCTAAGTGCAGCTCTTCACCTTCTCCCTCTAGTCCATATGCCATAGGATCTCTGCTAGACTCATGGTTTTAATAACCACCTCCAAGTTACTGTTAAAATAAAACTTTGGGGTAGGGGTTGTTCAGGGTTTTATTTGTGTTTAGACTATTTTTTGAGACAGGTTCAGGCTGGCCTCAACCAATGTATTCCTTGCAGGGCCAAATCCATGATAGTCCTCCTGTCTCCAATTCTCATCCCCTGGGGATGGCAGGAGTGAGCCACTATACTTAGGTAACATTTTGGGTTTTTATTGTCCCCTTGACTTTCCCTACCTTTCAGCAGTAGGCTCAGGGTGTTAGAGCCAAAGCATGCAGACAGAACTTCTGATCATGTTGCCTGTGGGATGAGGTCTTTTTCAGTGCTGCTCATTCCACTGAATGCCATCTTCCTCTACCTCATTTAACAAAGCGGAAACCTGACTGAGCAAGGATCCTTCCATTTACACCTCCCAGGTGCTGGGATTATAAGCCTATTCCACCATGCCTGATTTGTTCAGCACTAGGGGATTAAATCTAAGGCTTTTGCATGCTAGGAAAGCAGTTTACCAGCTGAGCCACAGCCCTAGCCTGTAGGGGCTGGCTTTAGAAGCATGTTACTTCTACATTACATGGAAAGGTGGGGCAGGAATAGTTGAAATACTCAATCATTTTTTGTTTTGTTTTGTTTTGTTTTAAATAGAAAATGAACAAAGTATAAAATATTGCTGTCTTTGCTATTTGATAGGAAGCAAGTAACCACAGAATGCAAATGTGTGCTATAGCATGCTTTCAGCACAGGAGCACCTCACTTAAAGGGAAACAGCTATAGACTCCTTGGCTTCCAGTGGGAACATATATTGTGGTGGATTCACTCAGGACCAGATCCGCCATGCTGAGAGCTGTTCTCCTTTTAAAGAGGGAGCCTGGAACTAAGTATGATTGTTGTTCTGTTCTTCTTGTAACATTGTGGTTAACTCTGGAGATATTCAGATAGAATTGTGACTAAAATTGTGTCCAGATGCCACAAGTTATTGATTTCATAACCATGGAAAAATCATTTAACCTGTCAAGTCATAGTGTCCACATCTGGCAAGTAGGGATAGTAAGAATGTTCGTTTTTGCAGGGTTGATGATGACTCAATAAGAGAGTCAGCAGAAAGTTCCTGCTTTCTCAGGCTCATCATCAAATGAAGCACATTGTGGAACCCAGAACAGTAGTCTGCATTCAGCACTCCAAATGGATGAGGGGAAGGGGAAATCTTAAAGTTGTTGAAACTTCTATAATCAAGGACCCTACTTGGCAACTCCAACATACTAAAAGCCCATAGCTGTAAAGTGGAAAAGAACGCAGTGAGAACGGAAGTGAAAGCAAAAAAGAAGACAGCGGTGGAACAGACCTCTATGACAGAGGGAGAAGAGTTGAAGGGAAAGGGGGAGAAGAGAGAGAGAGAGAGAGAGAGAGAGAGAGCACAAAGGGCTGTGTGAAGCAGTGCACATCTGCAAATATGAAATTCTAGCATTAAGGAAGCTGAAGCAAAAAACTGGCGAGTTCAAGACCATCTTAAAGCTACTTTTGAGTTATTCAAGACCAGTTTGAGCTACATAGTGATATACCATCAAAAAAACCAAAAACCCCATTTTAGTTGCTTAGAATAAAGTTTGACTACAGCAAAGAAGCCACATTGTGGTATTGAAAAGCAGTTCCCTAGATTTAACAAGTGTCCACTGGTAGACTAGAGATGTAGTTCAATTCATAGTGTTATACATGTCATACATAAGGCCCTGGGTTCAATACGCAGTACCTTATAAAACCTAGCATGATAACACATGCCTGTAATCCAATAAATCAGAGACAGCAGCAGGAGAATTAGAAGTCCAAGGTCATCCTGGGCTACATTAGTACATTTGAGGAAAGCTTGAAATACACAAAACCTTGTCCCCAAACAAAACAAAAATCCCCCACAAAATGGTACTTCACAATGGTTGACAGCTGATGCAGAAGCAGTGTTTAACAGGTAACAAGGGCAGATGAGGAAATGTGGCATATACAGCACAGGTCTAATAGGTAGACCAGGATATAGGCTCATATCACACCTCCCTTATGAACTACCATGCAATTCAACATCTCAGAAAGTTCACTTATCTGTAAGATTGAGACAACAAAGAAGGTCTGACAGGGTCGTGTAAGGTTTATATGAAGCTAATAGGTGAGCTATTTAATACAGTGCTAGTAGGTGAGAGTTAGATGTACCTGTCCAAGGAAACAAAGGACCAGTAAGGTAGCTCAAGCAGAAAACTCATTTGGTATCTACAAAAATGTGGGAACATAGGAGAGGCAGTGGGATTATGGTGAACTAACGGTGTCAAAATCATCTCATGGCAGTTGTGATCCAAATGTTAGGAAGCTGCTACTATGACTACTTCCTGGCACTATTACTGCTCCAGTGTCACACACAAAGCTCGAGCAGAGACACTGCAATGTGAACTACACACACCACAATATGTTGGGAACATCTTGCAGGCCACCAGAAGATATGTTCTGTCGAAAATTAACCCCACCACCCAAATGTTGGCATACCTGGAAGTGTATGTGAGCCATTACCCTTTCTGTAAGACTTTGGGAAATGTATATTAGTCCTTATGTTTTCAGGGAAAACGTGGGGATAGGAATAGACAGGGTGGAGCAACAAACAGTATCCAGGTCACATAATGACTCTCTCTCTCTCTCTCTCTCTCTCTCTCTCTCTCTCTTTCTGTGTGTGTGTGTGTGTGTGTGTATCTGTGTGTGTCCATATGAGAGAGGGGAGATGTATAGTGCACAGGTCAACATCAGATGTTATTGGAGAGGACTTATCCACCCTTTGGATTTTTGAACTTTATTTTATCATTATAATGTGTGTAGGTTTATGATAGGTAGGGCATGCCCATGCAGCATTCACCAGTAGGGAGTAGTTTGAGAACAACTTTGTGGAGTTGCTTTTCTTCCACCTTGGTGTTTCAGGGATTTAACTCAAATCATCAAGCTTGCACAGCAGTCACCTTTACTCGCTCAGCCCTCTCACCAGCCCCACCTTGGTTATTGAGATAGGGTCTCTTCCTAGCCTGACTTGATGAGCAGGCTAGGCTGGCTGACCAGCAAGCCCCAGCAACCAACTGTCTTTGACATTCCAGTTCTGGAATTACGGGTGCATGCCACCACACCACCACTTTTATATGTATTCTGGTGATGTAGCTCAGATTCGTGGCAAGCGCTTCAACTGAGTTCTCTCTCCAAGCCCACAGCTCAAATACTTTTCGTCCTGACTGCTGACACCAGAGATCACAATTGAAAAATGTCACAGATTGACAAACTCTTGTAAAATACAAATAAGAATGAGCCCTTGGATGGGAAAATGAATGTGTCTTTCTTAATGTTAGAAGGAAAGCCCTAAGATGCACTTCAAGCCGTTTGTAAGTTGAGGCTGGGAGATGAAAGAGAGAGAAGATAAGGAAACTTCTATGACACCAGTAGATGACGTTTGCTCACTACATTACAGGTACGAACACACTATGAAATAGAACCTTAAGTAGAAAAGATAGGTTGGGGGAAGGCTGATGCGAGTGGACTAGCTAACATTGCCAACATCAACCTATTCCTCACTGTTTCTAAAAGAAACAAAACCAGTAAGTTGAATAGAATACAGTGACTATAGCTAATAATATTTCTTGATGTATTTTAAAAGTATTAAAAGCAAATATTTTAAATGTTCTCATGACAGAGACAGTAATGTTTGAGGCGGTAAATGATATGTTCAATTAGCCTATGACCATGGATAGCATGATGTATGTGTGGAATGAAAGCTCATGCTGTTTGTCACCAACATGCAATTTGTATTTGTCATCTGAAAAGAAAATGACACTAAAACAAAAACGAAAACATTCCTCAACATCCACGAAAAAAAAATAAACAAGGATCTTCTTTATAAAGCACTGTTTATTCTCATTTATTGAAAATGTCCATTATAAAAGTCTTTATAATAACAACAAGTTTAGAAAATTTGAGCTCCTACAAGAAGGGACATGGCAGAGAAGAAACGGAAAGGCCTCTAAGGGCAGCAGTTTAATTACAGAATAACAGGAACCCAGTTCTATAGTATTGTAAACAACACAACTATGGAGACACGGCTGTTGGGTTAACATGGCTTCATTTCCTTTATATTATTTAGTGTGTAAGCACGGGCAGCCCGCTGCACAAGTTTCATTATCCAGAGTACCAAGGGTCTCTCCTAAGAAGGGCAAAGTCCCAAACATGCATATGTACACATCCTTTTAGAGACCTTTCAATGTCTTAAGCAATCAGCTAAAATTATTTGATAATCACAAAATATTTCCTAGAGACAAAATTTGCACATTTATTGCCAACTATTGACTAAGCACAGACAGGACACATGTGAACATCTGGGTTGCTACTGCTGTTTCTTTCTTAAATTTTACATAAAAGATGTCTCACAGAAATCTCTGGGCTTAGGAACAGGACAGCTGTTCTTACCCTTCACACTTTAAGTTGACAAAGATGGCTGTGCATGATTGTCTGAGGTTTGACTTCTCCAATCCTCCATTTTCTGGGGGTGCTATAATGTTTTCCATGTACCATGAAATTATGGAACTTGAGAGCCTTCATACCAGGAAGAGAAAGGGCTCCTCAACAAGCTTTTAGGCCTCAAGTTTTTTTGAAAGAGCACTTGCAGTCACCCATCAAATATATGTAGAAGACTTTCATTGGCTTTTTGCCTCTTTTCACAGTAACTTTCCATCTGGTCAAGTTGCCCTGCCATCTGAAGAGGTAGGCAAGAGCTGTGCTGCTCCATCCTGTAGCCTTGGCCCATTTTGACTCATGTTGAATTTAGGTATAACGTGTTCTTCTGGGGCTCTCTTCTGAACCTGCTTTCTCACAGTTCAGGTGTCTGGACTACTAACAAAGTCAATGGTTTGACATTCTAAACAACTTGAGCAAACTGGTTTCAGACAATCAGTTTCACTAGCAACCAGCATAGCTAGTGGAGAGGCCCTTTAACTTGAGATACACAAACTGGTTCACCATATTTGAGGCCTGCTCCAAGGAGGTCAGTGATGATTTTAACTTCTCACTGCAGAAACCAGAGCTTAATAAGATGGTGGGGGAAGGTGTGTTACTGGGGTACAATATCTTCTCACTCACTTTGTTCAGAAAGGTGAAAAGGTTGTAGTTTGAATATTCATGGTAAAGTCACTGTCCAAACTAATTTACACACCTCTTGGTATGGTAAGCTAAAAAGCATGGGGTGAGGAGAGGTAGAAAATTTACACAGAGGCAGAAGGCTGGGCGGTAAAGCTACAGTGCACTAGTACTAGCTGCTTAGTCAAGCTGCTCTGCCCTGCTGCTGAGGGGGATTGCCTGAAGCAGTTTGCTGACAGACTTGGTGCTGGTGTGGATGGTTGGAGTTCCTACCACTCTGACTTTAAATGCACACCAGCACAAAGGAACACTGGGACTACACTGTTCTTAATCTTAACAGACAACACAGGGCAATAAGTTTTTAAAGTATTGAAGGGGGCTGTGTGACATTCAAGGGAAAGGTAGCTGGATCATTGGGCAAAGGTGTTGATCGTTACCTAATCTAGACATAGCCCGAGAAGTTTTGCCTTCAGCGAAGTAGGTGGTAAAACGCTGTTGGGCATAGCAAAGTATTGGGGCCATTTTTACCACCACCTCAGGCTATTTCTCTTATTAAAACAAATATCAACTAACTAATAACCAAGCAGCAAACACTGGAGCAAACAGAGGAGGGGGGAGAGAGGGAGGAAATGACAGGGAGAAAGAGAGAAAGAATCCCAACACAAAGCAAAATCTGAAGTGCACAGTTAAATCATTCAGCTGACCATCCGGCCATTTCACAGTGCTCAGCTGTACAGGAATTGTTATGGGAGAATCATTGTCTTGCTGCTGGGCTCAGCTCGAATGTACTCATCTGTTTGCTTCAACAGCTTCCAGACAAGTTTTTCTAGGTCCTTCCTCGACTTCAATTCTTCTTCCAGACATTGCTTCATTTTCTTGTTCTCCTAAAAGGGAAAAAAGAGTTGTTGATCACTGAGTCAAGGCAAACCTTCTCAGGTTTTCTCTTCCTCTTCCTCTTCTTCTTCATGGCATCCTTCACTCTGACTACATATTCTTAAACCAGGTTGTCTCTTGTTTCTCTGCCTGTGTGTAAGCAGCCTCCTACACTTAACTTATCTTCACTTAACTGCAAGTGCTAAACCTGCCCTGGCTCCCTTCTGGCTCTACCCTTTTTCATTTAGGATCATTTTTCTTTCAGTGCAAGTGTGTGTCAAGAGGCTTCCCAAATATTTCTGGTGCCAACATCATCTTCTGAGTACCAAACCCACAGGACAATGCCAGTGGGGCAGGTTGATCTTAAGAGATGGTAAGCACTTTAAACTTAGTATGTTCTAAAGGAAACTAAGTATCACCTCTCCCAACACCCCAAACCTCTTCCAATACTCCTAGACCTTTGAAACAATGGCCGCCATAGCAAATTAGATAACCAGGGGAGAAGCTTCTCTAATGTCTGTGCTCTCATAATTCCAGCACTGTGCCATAATATGCAATAAATTCCAACTCTGCAATGTCCCTTTACACTTGTCCTACTCCTCAGGGCCTCACTGGTCTGCCTCAGTACAAGTCTTTGCCATACCCCATTCAGAATTTGCTAAGAATTCCACAAGTGCTCTTCCAAGATCTAGACTCTTCTCATCCCTATCCTTCCCCTTGCCACAAGTATAATCAGTCTTAAGACATTGGTAGAGTGTATATCCTGGAGCATAGGACCATACTACCCACAATTTCTCAAATCACCATAAAAAATTCTTCTTCCTCCCTTCCTTTGGAAATTTCTTCTTTCCATCTCTCCTACATTATTCCCTTCCTTTCTTTACTTTTTCACTACAAGGTCTTGCTATAACAGGCTAGCAAAACCATGATGTCCTTGCCTTAACCTTCTTACTGGCTAGGATTGTAGCAGGCACCACCCCCACACAGCTAGGCTTCCTTACATTTTTTTAAATATGTAAGGGGACAAGAAAGTAGTATCTAAATTTGGGATTCTGCTGCATATATCTAAATAGTAAGCCTCAGAAATTCAAGGCCACATGATAAAAAATTAAAACCCGCCTGATAACACAAAGAAAATACAAATTCTCCCTTAGTACCTTGCTCCTGGACTCTTCCTGACACCCTTTCCCAGTCACAAAGAAAACAGAGTAATTCTGTCATCTGCGATGAAAATTTTTGATTATGCATTACCTGCTTCAGTTCTTTGACCTCATCCTTCAAGGCATACACAGTATCAACAAGGCTCCTAAAATTATGCAGAAAAATAATTAGAAATGAATGTCTGGTACTGATGTGCTCATAAATAAGTAAGCCATCTCTATATCTATATCCTTATCTGTATAACTACACATATGGAAATAGCCAATGGGGTGTCTAGTTGATGGCAAATATTCATGATCTGGATGGTCCACATTCTTTCTCTTCATAGAAAGAAAACTATCACCACATATGCCCATTTCAATGCCATGTTACAGAGTCAGTTCTATATTGTCCATTTCCTTTCCCACTCCTAGCTTGCGTGGCCAGAAAACAACAGATAATTGCTATATAATGTGTCTTTTTTTTTTAAATTTGAGCACACAGTTGATAAACAAAAACTGTATATATTTAAAGTACATAATATGATGCTTCTGTGTGTTTATCTTATGTAATCATGCTTCAAATGAAGTTATTAACACAGCCATCACCACATGTAATTGTAGCTACTATTTATGTGCCTGTGTGTGAGAGTCTGTTGAAAACTCTGGAGGTCTATGCTCTTAGTAAATTTCAAATATGAAAGACATTATTAACTATAGCCGTTAAGCTGCATGTTAGACAGTGTAAAACCTAGCTATCATCTTATATAATTTAACTTCATAGTTTTTTTTTTCTTACCAAGATCACCTATTTATTCTACCCCCTCTAAGTTTCTGGCAACTATTACTCTACTATCTGCTCTCTGAGTTCAGTTTTTTTAAGATTACCATCCTGAGGTTTGATTGCTGCAGCTTTAGAATAGGAGTAAATTTTACTACTATATAATGAGAGCTATCACAAGACCCTATGTTTGCTCTAATGACCATGTTACAGAATTATCTATCCCATTTAGCTAACCTCATGTAACAGAGAGTCAGGACATTTTAAAAAATGAATTTTAAAAAGATAAAATTCCCTGGTTAATTGTGGCACTCTTTGTTCCCCAACTCTTTCAAGTCAAGGAATTTACAGATCTGGGTTTTAGTTAGGTATTTTTTTAAGATTAATTTTTATTATTGATGTATGTGTATATGCACATGAATGAAGGTACTCAAGGAGACCAGAAGAGGGTGCCAGATACCCTGAAGTTTGGATTTACAAGCAGTTGTGAGTGCTCAACACAGGTTTGTGAACTTAACAGAGGTGTTCTGAAAGATCAGCTAGTGCTCTTAACTGCTGAGCCATTTCTCCAGGCTCTAGGTTTTAGTTTTAATCCTGCTACTTACTATATTACTCTGACTTTGTGTAACCCATTTCCTTTTCGTCTGGTCTTTGCTATTGCTTTCTTTATATATGAAATAGGGATAGCATTACATTTCTTGAAGCCTTCACAAGGCTACGATAATTACTACTACATCAATAATAATGTTCTTAATAATGATAATTGTTATACATGGCATTAATTTTTTAGTGCTAAACTTTATAATTATTATATTTGACCACACAACAACTCAGAAGATATTTACATCATTCCCATTTTACAGATGAGGAAGACAAATCTGAAGAGGTAGAAGAACTAGCCCAGGGTGACCCTGGCAATACATAGCAAATTCAGAGAAGAACTGGGACTCTAACCTGTAGAGAGAATTTTTGGTTTCTTTAAAAATACAGAAATGTTATGGGAATATGTTTTTGTTTTAATCCCAGGGGATATAAGGCTGCTTCACAGCAGCTTACTCTAATTTGCCTCATGCTCTAGCAGGGACATGACTTTGTCAGCTGCAGGTAGTTTCTGCAAGTGTATTACATTTGGAATTCTGGGAACTTTTCAGAGGATATATAAATGCTAGAGCCCTGAGAGGTGGAGTAGCTGTTGTTGGCTGGTTGGTGGTTAAATACTGTTGGTTGTGGTTTGTCAAGTACTTGTGTGCAAAGAAGAAATTAGATATCCTGACAGTGAAGATGAAACTTGCCCCAAGAAAATTGACACCTGTAATCAGCAGGAAGTAGATAATGATAATGATGTCCCTTTCCCCCTCTATCCTTTCTCTCCTAGCTAGTGATGGGGGTTGGAAGGCTGGAGAAGGGTTGAAGAGAGTAAGGAACACATAAAGTAACAAATGCTGGCTACACTAGCCTATTCTACTCTTGAGCCAAAGTGCTTTAGCATACAGTGAGTGTGAAAATATATCCACAATGACAAGCACTGTGAAAGGTGCTGCCCTATGCAAACTCAGGACTGACTTTACAAATGACTCAAGTATAAAGGAGTTTCTTGGCTACTCTGTTCTTCTGTATAAGCTGGAAGGTATTTACTCCCACTCTGTGTAAGTTACAGTCACTACTATGAAAGGTAGGCCATGAGCACAGTTTTCCTGAACGTTATTTCTTCATCTGTGGAAGTGATATTTTCCCTCCTGATCACTTTAGGACTTTACAAGAGGTCAACTGTGGGAAAGGTGAGCTCCTGACAGAAAGATGTGAGCAGCAATGCTGTGGGCAGGCAAATCATTGGTAGGGCCTTCCTGAATACATCCAGACACACGTGTGGAGATCTCTGGTTCTGAGAAGGTGCTGACTCCACAGGGAAAGAGGAAGTTTCTGGACCTCTGCTTCTGCTTTCCTTTCCTCCTGCCCCAAGGGGCTCCCAAGTGTATGCTCAGCAATGAGGGCCCTCTTTGTTGAGGAAAAAAATGGAGAGAAGCAGGAAGAGGAAGGAGAAGGAGGGGCCATTGAAGGCAGGACCTATATGCTGGCTTGTTTTCTGTCATCCTGGCACACCTAGAGTCACTTTGGAAGAAGCTTCAATTAAGAAAATGCCTCCATAAGACTGGGTTGTAGGCAAGCCTATAGGACATTTTTCTTAATTAGTAGTTGATTGGGAAGTAGCCAGTTCATAGTGGTTGGTGCCATCCCTGGGCTGGTGGTACTGAATTCTATAAGAAAGCAGGCTGAGCAAGCCAGTAAGTAGTGCTCCTCCATGGTTTCTTCATCTGCTCCTGCCTCCAGGTTCCTACACTGCTTGAGTACCTGCCCGGAGAGTTTTAAGCTAAAATAACGTTCCTCTCCAAACTTGGTGGTTATGGTGTTTTATCACAGCAACAGAAGCCCTAAGACATTCTGCCCTTACTACTTTCAGTTCCCAGACATGTCCCTACTCACTTCTCTTCAGTGATGGTCTGCTCGCCACTTCTGGTTTCTTCAGTAATGACTTTCTCTTCATCAAGGAGTAGTACTTGTGGAGCAGAATCTTTATGAGTACCTGTAAGTGAAGAGAATGAGAGGGCTGGGTAGGAAGTTATCAGAGGCCATCCCTTTCCACTGTTATAGCACTGGCTTTCTTCATACCCTTGCCCTCAAAGGGCAATCATGCCACTTTTCCATTCTTCTGACAGGGAAAACTCTAAATGGCCAAATGATGTTATTTGATCTTCAAGAAGGGGGATGGGTGTGGTAAGACCCTCATACTTTTCTGTTTTGCCTGGCCCAGAACAAAGAGCAGATCACTGACCACTCAGTCCCTGCATGCTTCTAGGAGTCACACACCACATGCCCTGCTCTGCTATTCTTTACTTTCCATAAAGATTGGGCTGAGAGTAGCACTACTGTGGAATACAACATGCTGAAAGGGCTTCAGAAGCAGCAGTCATTCCTTTGTAGTCCTCTAGAGAAATGTAGAGTGACTTAAAGCTATTTTTGATGGTGGCTACAGTAGAGCTGGGAGGTTATCATATCAGCAACAAAACTCAGGCGTCTTCACGGCTCTCTGCCCACACTGTCTAGCACGTGGGACAGAAGAGATGACAGGTAATTCCAACTTTTCCACACCTCATTCTAGATCTTTCCTTTCTAAGTTCAAGGACTTAATCTTTGGTCTACTTAGGTTTCTGGCCTGGTCTGTTTTACACCACTATCATTCAGAGGTGTACACACCCACTGCTTTTCTCTGATCACCCTCTCCTCTTCCCAGAAGTGATATGTGTTTCCATGTTAAGAGAATAGCTCTTTGTAAGTGTCTGCTTAGGATATAGAGGAAAAATAGATGAATATCTCAGAAAGCCAAGAGCAGTCAGTTCTAGGGAGACAAGACATTTGACTGAGTGACATCGAGATCCACTACAATGCTGAAATGATGGCCACATAAGACACTAGACACTTCCCACATGTACAAAGGACAGTAGAAACAAGGAACAAAACTGTGCCTCTCTAGGCCAGATCCCATGCCCGAGTTTCTGCTCTGAGTGTGTGGAGAGACTACAGCTAGGAAAAGAAGAGAACAGAGGTGATAGATGGTCAGATTTTGTGAGGGATGTTTCTCTGTTGTGTCCTCATCCCCATCTCTTCTCCTGGTGAGCACATCAAAACTTGTTATTACAACAAAGCATGCCAAAAGCCACAGGCTGGTTGTGTCCGTGGTGCACTGCTCCTATTCACAGTGCCATGTATTGATTTTCACGTCAAATTCTTTCCTCTTGTGACAGCCTGTAAGATGTGTGACTTTCAAAGAGTGTGTCAAGGCAGCATCTTAAGAAATTCCTCTGAAAGCCTCTGCAGTATAGACTATCAAAGCAGATGCTGAGCCTGATGGCCAACTGTTGGGCAGAGTGAATGGAATTTTATGTAAGAAGTGGGAAATAGTAAGAGCTGGAGGGGACGGGAACTCCACAAGGAGAGCAACAGAACAAGATAATTTGAACACAGGGAACTTCCCAGAGACTCATACTCCAACCAAGGACTATTCGTGGAGATAACCTAGAACCCCTGCACAGATGTAGCCCATGGCAGTTCAGTGTCCAAGTGGGTTACATAGTAATGGAAAGAGGGACTGCCTCTGACATAATCTGATTGGCCTGCTCTTTGATCACCTCCCCCTGAGGGGGGAGCAGCCTTACCAGGCCACGGTAGAGGACAATGCAGCCACTTTTGATGAGAACTGATAGACTAAGATCAGAAAGGAGAGGAGAACCTCCCCTATCAGTGGACTTGGGGAGTGGCATGCATCCAGAAAGGGGAGGGAGGGTGGGATCAGGAGGGGAGGAGGGAGGGCCTTATGGGAGGATACAAAATGAATAAAGTGTAATTAATAAAATAAAAAATGCAAAAAAAAAAAAAAAAGAAATCCCCCATACCAAATAAGCAGCTAGTCAGCAGCTATGAAAAATACAGCACTCTGGGACATTCATTCTTTATGCAGATATGAGAAACTTTCTAAAGGGTGTCCTACATGTTTATGATGATGGAAAAGAAAATTTATAATCTATGTAACCTGGGCTGGAAAAAAAAAAGCACAAGGATTCAAAAGAACGCATTGTGTAACTTTCAGGGTTTAACACCTAACAGCTCCTTGAGACATTTTATACATTTTGATGAGCCTCAGCTGTGTAGCAACATTTCCAGACTTTCAGAACAACTTTGAAACCTAAGTCTGGTAAAGCATTGCTCACTTCAACACATAGCTGATGAGAGATAGTATTCTGACTTCCTTTCCAATTCTGCCTATGAGACAAGATTAGCATCAGTTTGCAGACACAGGAACTCTCTGGGCTCTTTAATTCCTAACTAGTGCTGGTGAAGGTATCTATGTAGATCAAGAAAGTGACTTTAAAAAAAAAAAAACTTTTTCTCATTTCTATCACATCCAACTTTTTCCCTCTTGCATCTTTCTCTCTGGGTGAAAAGCAACAGTTTGTAAACAAACCACTCAGTAGCTAAAGCACCTTATCTGAAAGATTCAGTCCTGCACCTGTGCTCTGCACTGAGTCACATGCTTTCCACACCCTACAACCCAATCTGCATTGACGGTCTAGTCACATGCTTTTGACAACCAGCAACACAATCTGCACTCATGGTCTTTTCTCCCTAGAAGCAGTAAGCAGGGAAGAACAAAACCCATTCATTAGTGAAAGCAGTGTGGGGAATTTTACTTGTGTATTACCTTGTTGAAAACTGGCACTGGTACAATAAGCTTCAATCACCCTGAGAATCTGAGCATCCTCTTCCAGGGCAGCAGTACCTGTCAAATTTAATCAATAATGACTTCTCCTAGATATATGACTCTGGACACTCAAAATGATGCGGTGCCTATCACTGCCAAGGACTCTCAGTTTTTCTGAAAGGCAGGCAAAAATTTGCTCAAGCCCCATGAGTCGAGAGTGACACCAACACTGATCCTGCGGGCTCTGGGGTCAGTATTCCAGGGAGGGGGGCTGCTCTTGAAGTTCAGAACTCTAAAGTAGTGAGGGTTTTATCAATCATCTTTTGAAGGTTAAAATTATGGCACCGGGGCTTGATGTTAGCTCCAGCTCTCATCCAGCACACCAAAGTCTCCCTGTTAATTAAATTTCAAGGCTTGCCTTCTTTAAGAGCCTTTTTCCTATTAACCCCACTCATCTTCCCAAAGAACCAGCATATCACTGACTCTCCCTCCTCCACTCCCCAGCTTAGTCTTTAAATACTCAAATGACAGTTTTTCACTAATAAGTTTAGGTGAGGGTGGAGTTGAGGTTGCAGTAGTTGGAGTTCAGCAAAGAAATTTAATTTTAATATATTTCATGTCATATCATATCATATCATATCATATCATATCATATCATATCATATCATATCATATCATTGCATGACAGAGTCTCATGTAGTCCAGGCTGATATCTAACTTGTTTTGCAGTTGAAGTGGGGATTACAGGCACATGCCACCCATGCCTGGTTTAGGTGGTTCTAAGGGATCAAACTTTGGGCTTTGGGCTTGCTAAGCAAGCACTCTATGAATTGAGCTATGTCCCTAGCCACAGCAAAGATTTAAGTAAACTAGACTTGTAACTGATACATGCAGTACTGCTACATCACTGACTCCTCCATGTACACCCAAAGTACCTTGTTCACAATTTTAGAGGCGGATACAGACATATCACTTGGCTAACTGACTTTTCAGTCAGCTCCTAAATAAAGCAGTTTCCTGATGTCACCAGGCTGACTCCTTGGTCAACTGAGAACAACCCTGAGCATTAGACTGCCAGAAGAATGTCTGTTCTTAGGTCCATTTAGCCTATCTGGTCAGAAAAACAATATTTCAGGCATCAGAAATCTAGAGGAAAAAAATAGTGTCCAAAGCAAATGGGCCCCATTGGGGGATCTAAACCAGGTGGGGTGAAGTGTTCTGCAGCATGAAAATGATACAGATTGATGTCTGTCAGAATCGGCAGAAAGTTTAGCGGGAGGCAGCTTATTCAAAAGTCATAGTAGTGACCAAATTTTCTGTGTAGTTTTACAACAGATGATGCCAAGAACAAACTGCTCTAATTATCTGCTTTTTACAAATTCTCATGTTAATTTATCCATTAATAACTTTGCAAAAAGTACTGAACACATACTTTTTCTAATCACATATTCTTCGTCAGATGTTTTTCTGTCTGTCTTTCTTTTGTGAAGAAACTTCTTCATCGTTTTGGGGCTCTTACCAGATTCCTGCAAGGATAATGGTTTTTCCATGAATTAACATTCTTTCCCAAATATGAATGAAAATAAAGCAAATAAAATGAATCCGAATGCATCTCTCATTGTGATAGCATCCATTAAGAAAGTGTCAGATTTTAGATTACACATACGAAAAATGGCTCCAGTAAACTCAAAAAGGTTCAGCAAAGCACAGGCAATGACATTCCACTCTCAGTTGCCACAGGAATGAGAATAAGAATGGAGAAAGATAAAGATTGTGCAGGATGGTCAGTGTATTTAGGGTACCATCTGCAGCAAAAGTAATGGGATTTCAACCCCAAAAGAGTGCCAGTATTTTTAACTTGATTTACGTTACCTGTGGATAGTTTGAAGTGAAGTAAGTGATGTAACTAATGACAGAAGAACAGTTATCCCTTTTCTAAGAGTTTAAAACTACTTGAGTAAGTTTTTTTTTTTTTTTTTTAGCAGTAGCCTCACAAAGAAAACTATAATTCCTATCATTAAGATGAGAAAATTAAGGTACAGATACTAAGTTATTTTCTCAGAGGGAATTTCATTAAGCATTCTTTGATAAATAATTTTGGATTGCATACAGCCAAATTAGTACACAGCAGAAGTGAAAATGAGCAAATTTTCTTTTTGCCATATTAAAAAAACAGTTCAGTGTTAATATGCAAGTAAACAGATTGGACTCACACTCAGAATCCCAAGATAGTATCCTGATATCCCATGCTTTTCAGCATCTATGTATGTATGTATGTATGTATGTATGTATGTATGTATGTATGTAT